TGGATCACCACATCTATCTTCATAGAAACAGTAGCCACACCAAACACATCAAGAAATCTGTTATCTACAGCCAGGCACTCAGATACCACAGATTATGCTGAGGAGAAAGTCCGGGATATATATACCTGAACACACTTAAAACCGCCTTCACCAAACAAGGACACCCCACCAGAGAAGCAGAACCCATCATGAAATGGGCCACCCAAACACCTCAAGAGAACCTGCTTCAATACAGAAATAAAACCCCCTCTGATTGCGCACCCCTAGATGTCACCCTACCTCCCCCCCCCACCCCGCCACTGGAACCCATACAAGGTATCACCAAACAACTACAACCAATACTCGATGGGGAACGCATCCGAAAGAAATCTTCCCTTAACTCCCACTTCTGGCCTTCAAACCACTTCCAAATCTCTCCAAGATCATCATCAGAAGCAAGCTCCCCACAGATCAGGACAAACCAATTCAAAGCGGCACCAGACCCTTCCAGAACAACACATGCAAAATCTGCAGACAAATCTCCACTGCTGCAATGATCAACACATCCCACAACACACCTTTTCAAGATCCAAGGATCCTACGCATGCCTACACATGCCTCATCCAGTGCACTAAATACCCCAATAACAACTATATGGATGAAACCAGACAATCACTATGCTCTTGAACGAACTCACACAGGAAAATGATAAAAGACAAAAACACCCCATCACGTGTGGGTGAACACTTTTCAGAGAGCGATCACTCTATATCGGACCTCTCACACTTCATCCTCAAAGGAAACCTGCACCACACTTTCAAAAGACAAGCCTGGGAGCATAATTCATTACTCTGCTAGACACTAAAAATCATGGACTCAACAGAAACACTGGATTTATGCTTATTCCAACAATCTGCAACCCACTAACCCCCTCTTTTTGTCCTATGACTGCAGAGGTGTTAATGGGCCATTCCACCTTGAATGGTCCCTTACAATATGTGCTAACTACTAATGTATTAAACAGTCTGTTCCACCTTGCATTTAGCTGTGATGCTGGGAGTAACTCTTCCAGACCGGAAGAACAACTTTTGTGTGGCTCGATAGCTTGTCTTTCTCACTTAGGCCATGTCAGCGCTGCAGTGATGCAGATGTGGTGAAGAGACTCTATGCCAATGGGTGAGAGCTCTCCCATCGGCATTAAAAAAAAAAAACCATCTCCGTAAGTGGCAGAAGCTTATGCCGGCATTAATTTATGTCACGAAGGTTGTTTATTATTACTGTCTCACTACGGGGTGGAGGGACAGATGACACTAAGGCTGGATCTACACCACAAACTTACATCAGTAGAACTATGTTGCTCAGGGATGTGAAAAATCTACACCTCTGAGCGATGCAGTTATACCGACCTAACCCCCCTGCGTAGACAGCGCTATGGGAGAGCTTCTCTTGTCGACATAGCTACTGCCTCTTGTGGAGGTGGATTAACTAAGCCCATGGAAGAAGCTCTCCCAGCGGTGTTGTAGCATCTTCACTGAAGCGCTCCAGTGCAGCTGTGCCACTGCCGCTTTTTAAATGTAGACCTGCCCTGAGGGTATGTTTGAGCTAGCATGCTAAAAATAGCAGTGTAACTGGGGGGTAGGGCAGGTAGCTTCTCAGGCTAGCCACGTGAGTACACACCTGCCCAGACCACCTGGGTACAAACTTGTGCAGCATGGCCCAAGCCATCACCCGCGCTACCCCCAGCTACATTGCTACACTGTATACAGGGAGTCAGAACTTTCCCTGAAGCGGAGACAGAACACATATATGTAAGAGGGGAAGAGAGAGAGCACGTATGCAGGAAGAGTGTAAAACTGTCAGATAAAGAGGAACATAGGAATCACCATATTGGATCAAACCCATAGTCCATTCAGTTCAGTGTCCTGTCCCCAACAATGGCCAGAACCAGATGCTTCAGAGGAAGAACCCTGCAGTAATCAGATGAGGAATAATCTATCCTGCAGCATAGGTCTCATCCTGAAGCACAAGGTCTAATATTCCGTCCAAAATATTTGTTGCCATTGATTATAATGCTGCATATTCTTGATAGTCATATAATGTCCAGTCCCTTTTTGAATCTTGTTAAATTCTTAGCCTCAATGAGTTCCTGTGGCAATGAGTTCCACTGATTAGTCACATGTTGTGTGAAAAAGTATTTTCTTTTACCAGTTTTTAATTTTCCACCTTTTAACTCAATTTAATGCCCATTGTTCCTGTATTATGAGATAGGGAAGAGAGGGAGAACAGAAGTTCCTAATCTATCCTTTCTAGATTACTCATTATTTTATATACTTTTATCATGTCCACTCTTTTTCATCTCCTTTCTAAGGTTAACATTCCCAATCCTTTTTCACTCTTTTCATATGGGAGTTTTTCCAGCCTTTTGATCATTTTTGTTGCTCTTCTCTGAACCCTCTCCAGTTCTGCATTATCCTTTTGAGACTGAGTAACTAGTTCTGAACACAGTATTCTAGGTAAGGCCATACCATTGATTTAATATAAAGGTATAAAGACATTCTAATGTTTCAAGTGTTATTCCCCATCCCATTTCTTATGCATCCTAACATATAGTTAGCTTTTTTGAATGCAGCTTCACATTGGGCAGAGATGTTCACTGAGACAATACAATGATGCCCGGACTCCAGAAAAGGAAGACAAGTGCAATGGGGAAAGAAGGGGTAAAGGGATACAATAGAAGAAAAGAGTGAAAAAGTGAGAGAGAATGAGAATGGTGGATAGACAACACAGTGACGGAGTAAGATGGAATGAGTGTGTGGAAGTAAAGAGGAAATGAGAGCAAGGAGGAAGTAATGGGAAGGAGAGTGAGAACATATTGCACCAGGAAAAATGAGAGGAACAAGGAAGTAGAAAGATGAAGAGAAGTAGTGGTACTTAAAATTGGCCACACTTTATATTAGAGTTCCTTGAAGAAATAGTTTATAAAGGGATAATAAATTAGTAAATGTTTTAATCAATTGTTATTGAGTCCACTGGTCAATAGGTAGCTTATGGATGACTTTTATAACACCTTCTACTGATATCCTTTAACCATGCATGAGATGTAGGTCTGTACATACGCATATGGCATCTATTAATCATTTATTAATCCTTTTTAAATGATTTATGAAGGTAACTAATATTAAAAAAAAAGAAAGAAAAAAGAAGACGACTTCAAAATTAGACCAAGGAAACAAACAGTCTAGCAAAGAGAGGTAAAGATACACACTCTTAAAAAGGAAAGGCAAGAGGAGTGAAGGAAAGAATGAAAAAGAATAAAAATCAAAGAGAACATAGTAAGTTCATTTAAAAATTATTTGTAATAAAGAGGTTAACACTAAAATGATACAAGAAACAAAAACCCATGCTTGCTTTCATCATGAAAAGATCGCTGTGGAAAAAAGTTCCTTTTTGGTGGAAAATAAAGCAAAAACTTAATTAAATGGGTTAGCATAAAAACAGACCTGGCAAAAATAAACAAACATAGCACTTAACAAAAATCCAGTGCAGGAAGGTTTTTTTGGAGGTGTAGGTGAGGGGGGGAATAGGAGGGTAGGGTAGAGGGAGCCAGCTAGTGCATCTTGCTGGGCACTAAAGGAAGAAAACCTGCCAGGTTCAAAAAGACACAAGTATAATAAGCTGAGACAAACTTCATTTGTCTAATCAAGATAAAATCTTATAATTAAGTAAGTTCTTTGGAGGAAGGAGTCTTAAATACATTATTTTTCTGATGACAGCAAAATGTACAATAATGGCCTTGACTTGAAATGACTCATGACAAAGGCAGATGAGGCTAAATAACCCAGTACACAACAGTAATTTCCTCTAGTCCATTTCTTCGAAAATCATCATTTACTCTTCCTCCATGTACTACAGGAAGGCATTGTGTTGAGTTTATACTTGATCTTTAATGAGCCCAAAAACTTCAACATGGTTATAATATGGGACTGGGGGGAAATAGTAAGGGAAATAAGTGAAATTTCTTACCTCAGATTCCTCCCTTTGTTCAGTAGTTTCTTCCTCTTGTCCTCCATTTTTTGGCATATAGGCCATTTTCAGTCTTAAGAAACCCTTTACCCGAGATTTGTGGCTAAAGAACAAGACAATATTAACAAAGGAGATTAATTAGGCAGTATTCTTTTAAAAATAAAGTATCATTTCTTTATTAAGTTAAACAGAATTTTCGTTGGATACAAAACCCCTCACCTTCTTGGTCTGAGAAGGAAATCCTTAAATGTGTATGGCCGTTCCATGGTTGGGTCTTCTGTCTAAAGTCATAGAAAAAATAAAATTGAAGTGCTGACTCTCAAGAATACACAAATACACCCTACATTTGTTATAAGGGTTTACTAAAAACACTTGAAAAACATGTTTGAATAAATTAAAGTCAAAGGAAGCGCTTGTCTAGCAGTAAGAGGTGATATTTATAAGTGTTGCATATTATTGAATAATAGGTCCACTAGATGTCGCTATAAACACCAACAGTAAGTTGGACCAGCAATTGTTTATGTACAGTAACATAACTTTACGTTGCAGTTATGTTCATGAAAAATGAGACTTTAAGCGAAACGATGTTAAAGCAAATCCAATTTCCCCATAAGAATGAATGTAAATGAGGGGGTTAGGTTACACACACACACACACACACACACACACACACACACACACACACTAATTAACGTTTTAAAA